GGAAAAGAGAAGATTCCCATGCTCAAGCAATAAGTATCATTCGGTATCTGATTGGCACAAGTGACAAAGGCATTTGTTTTAGCCCTAAACTTGATCAGGGACTTGATTGTTGGGTCGATGCTGACTTCGCCGGATTGTATGGATATGAGGATGATCAGGATCCTGTGTCCGTCAAGTCTCGCACTGGATTGTCTTGACTTTGTTTGGGTGCCCTATCATCTGGTCCAGCAAGCTACAGACTGACATTACTTTGAGCTCCACTGCTGCTGAGTATGTTGCCTTCAGCATGTCAATGAGGGAGCTGCTTCCTATGCGAGCTTTGCTCAAAGAAATTGGTAGCAACTGAATATGCCGGTAATTACTGACAGTCTCGTGCGCTCTACAGTGTTCGAAGACAACCAAGGCTGCTTGTCTCTTGTGAATTTCCCAAAATGTCTGCGCGCACAAGTATTTGGCATTGAAGTACCACTTCTTCAGGTCCAATATCGGGGAGTCGAAGGGCATCGTGGGCCAAGTATATTCCGACTCTGGAACAACGGGCCGACATTTTCACTAAGGGTCTTCCGGCTCCACAGTTTGCTGTCATTCGGAAGCTCCTCATGGGATGGTAATTTACCTCAGCACTTTGCTGGGGACTCTCTCCTATCGTTTCTTGCTCCAGCTTCATTTCAGCTGTAAGGGAGTGCGACGGGATACAGCTTACAATTCAGCTTTACAGCTTTACAATTAGCAGGCTTATTCTAGCAAATAATCAATAACTGCTCACTTATTTGGAAATACAAACTTTACATCTCTTAGATCCTTAGACTAGTCAATGCACAATGGTATTGTCGCACCGTCGTGAGCGAGAGATCCCTGGTCGAATCTTCCATCACAAGATCACGTATCGAAGGAATATGTGTTTCGAGCAAACATAGATCGGGGGCTGACTCGAGTGAAAACAACAACGGGTCCACACGGCAACTGGGACTGTCGCAGAACCGATGGGCACTCCTTGATATGACAAACGTGACATCTGTTTGCACGGCGGAGGGCGGAGAAGAATGATTCCAGATTCACTTACCTTCCTCATCGTCCCATAATATTGAATCATTCTCTACCCCTAATTGAGGATGGACGCCAGCGACGATCTTTGAGGCTATGATTCCCGCACAGCACGTTGATCCCTCGCGCCACACAAGATGAAGCCACGGACAACGAAACTTGAGGTTTCGATTTCTTCATCCAAGCAGTATTCTCCGCCTGCACGTTCATCACTACTAGTCCATTTCCAACACTTGATAGCAAGCATTCTGGGCAGCACCACCATTTTCTGGTTCTCCTGATTGGGCCTCTTTTGTATATGCATGTAGAAATGCCAGTGGGCATAACTTGGCATGATACTGGTGCATCCAGAGGTACAATGCCAGAATCTCATGCTTTTCAAATCCAGGGTACCCCACAATTTCATCAAAACACATCAATGTTCCTGGTTGTATCAGCCTCCCCAGCAATTGAAAGGTAATGGTTGTACTGATAAATAAATCACCATCATGATGTACAAATGCCAGTGGCTGCTGCTGGGGGTGATGTTGTTGGATATAAGTGGGAATTGTATCTTGAAACCATCCCTTGTACAAGCCAACTTCTGCAGGCATGTTGGCTCGAACATGTTCATAGTCAGTTTTGAAGACCCCTTCCTGATATTCCCCTCTCCAATTGGAAGGAAGCCCTTCAAAGGAATCAAAACCAAATAGCTTGCCATTGAAATTCTTGGAAGCTTTTAGCTCTGCATATGCTCTTCTGAGTGTACTTCCTGTGTAGACTCCAAACTCAATCCAATTTCCATTTGGAATGGTGTCTTGGAAGGTATCATAATGCTGTAAAATGTACTCAATGGGCCTTTTACCCACCACCACCTGGTTGAGCCCATGAAAGACAGAATCAATAAAACTAGTCAAGTTGGAAGTGGCACTCAAGATTGGTTTGCTGCAAGCCAGATGTTTTTTGAGTGGAGGCAGTGCTTGTTGCTGCTGCTGCTTGGAAGCCGTGTCAGAGCCAGATGGCGATGGCTTCAGTTTGTTCAGTTCCATTATTGCAAAACCAGCACAGAACACAAGCACCATCTTGGCACAATCGGGCCATGACCAACTTCTGTGAGGGCCTGTTTCATCCTGTATCGTCACTGTTTGAGGTCGTCGAGGCATATTAATTTTAATGTTGGTGTCGAGCAGCTATAGCTAGAGCAGAAGAATGGATCTCCTTTTAGAAGTTCACTTATCTGTCGTTTGGCTATTGACAAATTTGTATGAGTCGAGTCAAATTGGTTTCCTCTTTAGCCTTACTCTCTAATTACAAGTACTGGTACCCGTACCGGTACCAAATCAGCGACGTTATGTTTTTGTTTTGCTGTTGCCTCTTGTTAACAAGATGACGTCTCTGGCGGCTGTGACCTTTGGATTGGATATCAAAGAATCCACGTGGAATTTTCTGCTTGGCTGGAGGGACTTCGGTTCCTTTCGGCTCCTGATGAAACCGCCGGTTCTGCCTGACACCTTCAGCTTTGGCATGGCGTCAACTCATAAACTACAGTAGCTAGCTGATTGAAAGCTGGATGAAGACTATGCTTGAAGCATTCGTTCCTCGCCAGTGCTGGTGCTACCGTAGCTTCAACTTTAATAAAGGGAAACAACAATGGGAACTCTACAACTCTACTAGCTAGCTATAGCTTACCCCCAACACAGAGCTCGTTGGACGTCTGTTCTCACAAATCAGACAAACAAACAGAATCAAACCGCAACAATAGCAACTTACAAAGAGCAAACATGACTCTCGGCCTTGTCAGAAACTTCCTGCGTCCCACCTCCCGAAGAAACCATCAAAGCCGTACTGTTCCCCGAGGTCGCAACGACCAACAGCCAAACCCCGCCCCACAAACTACCCAGCGCAGATTGTACACCCAAGAAGAAAAGAATCAGAGGGAGATGCAAATGAGAAAGCTATGGTACACTTTCTTTCTGAAACCACACGTTACAGTCTTGAAATCCAAGCACTTTATGGATGTCGCTGCAGAAGCAACTTCCGACCTTGTGTGCCATCCCATTGGCGTCGAAGAAATCCCCGTAAAGACAATCAAGCTATTTCATAAACTTGACAAATCGATCCAACATGTGGACGCCGAATGCTCCATTTGCCTGGTGGAGTACCAGGCAGGAGAGCGAATCATTCAATCCGCCGACATGGAGGATGGAACGTGCTGCAATCACGTGTTTCACGAGGAGTGCATGATGGAGTGGTTGGAACGGGGCCACAAGCGTTGTCCATGCTGTCGCCGTTGGTTCGTTCCGGGGGCTCCCATTAAGCAGCAGATGAAAGAAGCTCGTGTTGGCATTCGCCAATCTGTTTGTAACTTGTATGACAAGCAAACCAGGAAGCGTCTTGTGGCCTTGAAAGAGAAAGAAGAAGAAGGCAAGGCTTCTTCGGAAAGGACAGCCAGCGAGTTTTGGGTGTAGATTCATTTTTGGGTCAGCAGCCAGACTTGACGATACCCCCAGCACATCATAGATCGATCAGCCTCCCCATGCCAATTCCAATTCCCACTATACACAAAATGAATAGATTCAGTTAGATAAACAACCAGTAGAGATACATTTTCCAATCATCCTCCACTGCCTACCGTACCACCTATACATTTTTCGCTAGTGGGCAGCAAGAGCTGCGTCCAACGATTCTGAAACCCAAAGAGGGGCCGTAACAGCTATGGAGCCCAATCTGGACAATAGTGATATCCACATATCTCAGCCCGCCTCATCTACGGTGCATCCACTTCAATTCAGAGAAGAGCGCTCGAGGAGGCTGAACAGCCAAGGCCCGGGTGTTTCCCACAATCAACTTGCTCACCGGCCACACTCGCCTCCCGAGAGTGTGTGACTCCATTTAGCTATCTAAGCCACGGGTTTGTACACCTGAGGTTTGAGCTATGGTTGCCATGCATCCACTTCAGATGGCACCACAAATGAAACAACCTTGAAGGAAGCTTTCATTCACGTGAGCAACGTGAGCATCGTTCGGTCGGCGAAACCAAGAAATGCCGAGGAGGCAAGATGGCAGCAGACGCGACGGGAGAAACAAGCCACCATGGAGTTCAATCTTAGAAGTCAGGGAGCCAAAGGGTTGCTTCCAGGCCAATACAATGAGTCTCAATTCGCTTGGCTATCGACGGTTTGGCAGCAACCAGCCAAACAACCCGCTAAGAGCTGCCCTTGACTTTGCGAGACCACAGAACATGGCAACCACATTAGTCTTTGCCCAGCGCAAGCCACAGTACTAGGCAAAAAGTGGCCTATGTGCGAGAGTATGTTGTTGGGGTCAACAGAGGCTTTCTTAGATACCGTTGTGAAGCTGATACGGAGGGTGTCGGCCTTGAGGAGTGTGTTTGTGCGCATGACCCGTTGCCGCTGCATTTTGACTTGGAGATCAAACAGATGAGGCCTTCTGACTTGGAAGCATTGGATCTACGAAGGATTTTGCGCAAGCATTTGGAGGTGTTTGGCATTGACGCAACAGCCGATGTTGTGAGCGAGATTGCCGCGGTGTACCAGCGTGTTTCGGTAACCGAGGTGGGATGAATGTTCTGACTGGGTGTCGGCCAGGGTATTGCTCCTTGCATGTTGTCATGGATGTACTGTGAGTCTTCGGCACTCTCCGTGCCTCGCTTGTGTACGAGATACATGTAGCTGAGGCCTTCGCCGTCCGTAACACCCGTTCGTTGGTGGAATCGCCGATGTTGTTTGATACCCCTGAGGGTCGCTTCAGCTCATGGTAACGTCCATGCCGTGGAAGATACCTGATGGTCCTGATGATGCCTTCGTTTTTGCCGGGAAAGATGATACGATATTTGATGGGGACATCTATTCTTCAAACCATTTGCCGCGTGCCCCGGGTGAGTGCGAGGTCAACGAAATCTCCGTTGGCTCCCTTGCTCCTGCGGGGGGTGCATCCCATGCTTGTGACTGAGCGCCGGTTCGTGAATGCTTTCTCCGCTGATTCGATTCCAATGGCTGGCTTTTGTGGCAGCGGTATCTCGTGAATGGGTCGGGTGCCTCCCTGGAAGAACAAGACGGTGATAACCATTTGAAGACCCACGAATAATTTCCAAGCCATGCGAGGAAGCTACAGTACATACGGGTTCCTGGAGTTCCGCGTTCCTTCGGTTGACGCCTTCGTCAAGCATTCGATTCGATTCTGTTTTACCACAGAGATCCCGTGGGCCCAGCCAATTGTTCCGTCAGGGATAGGGCTTCCTGTTACATCGCCTCTTCCTGAAGTCGTCCGGGGATGACCGGAACAACGCGTGTGGCCCCCAAACTAGTGTCGATGATGGGGAATCCGTGGTTCTCGCACACATCATTGTGCAACTCAACACTGTCGGTTGGTTCCCCATCTCTGATCCTCGTCTGACATGTTGCCTGAATGAAGATGGAGCGGGAGGATCTCGCTCGATGGCACATTGGCGGAACTACTTGAGGGCAAGTCATGCCGTGGTGCAATTTCAAACACTGACCTCCGCAGACCAACCCCCCAACTCGTCGTTTTATTTCCCCGCAGTCTTATGCCGATGGCATCCATCATCTGCTTGACAAAGTGTTGGGCGGCAGTAGGACCTTCATACATCCTTGTTAGGCCGAACTGCCCAGCATCCTGCCAATCCGTGAACGTGCACATGCATGATCTCTTTTGAACTCCTTTGTTGCAGCGGCATCATGGTTGTCTCCGTCCAACAACAAAAAACTCAAGGCGAAGCATCACACAGAGACCCCGGCCCCAGTGAAAAATGGCGTGTATCCAGGGCTGATGAGATACCCGGGGATGGCACGCATCGGCTTGGTGGACGGGGGACAGAATGTCATGCAACAGATACTCGGCAAGCTGGAGATGAGCGGTTGCCTTTAGGAACCCCTGGTTTAGCGCCATTTCTGCTCATGCTCCGAGATTCTGGCAGTCCGTGCACGGTATATCCAAGTGATCCAAGTTGCTATCTTCTTCCACGTTACTACCACAAGTGTGGTAAGCGTCCTTTGGTTGCCGAGTACCTTCGCTCTGGTGAACATCTGGCGATGGCATCTTCAGCTTGATCAGTTCCACTGCCACTCTGTCCGAGCAGATATATGGTCCCTGAGCGACCGGACCTGCTCTGCTTACTGCTCGTCACGGAACATCCTAAACCAGAGCCAAGCTCCAATTGCTCCAGTGTCTTGCCCACTTGCTGCCTTATACGCTCGTTGCCACAATGTCCACAATGCTGCAATCTCTCCCCTTGACAAAGTCCTCCCACTTGGTTTTCAGCACATGGAGCTCTGACTGTGCATCGGACGGAAGCTCTGTCATCGCTACAAAGTTGCTTGCTACCGACTCGCCAGACGCAACCCAAAGTGATCACGTCTTGCCCGACTAATAGAACGTTCTTGGCTTCACACGTGCTTGGGTACTTTCCAGAACCGCCACCAACTGGGGCATCTTGCCTCCAAAAGGAGGATGGTCCTCGTGAACCTCGGCGAAATCTTTCCATACCGTGACGCACTTCACAACAGAGCCACGACCCTGCTCCACAAAACATGAACGACTGTCTCATAGACAAAGCTGGGAAAGTGTTTGAGTCTTCGAGGATGAACCTGAGCCTCTTCAGAAACTGCTTCTCTTCTTCGTGGTTCATGTTGCAGAAAAACAAAGCACGAAAGCAACGAAACTGCCGGCTGAGGAGAAGCCAGCACCGATGATATGCACACAATCACGTCACGTCCATTTCCTTTCCGACTTGATTGGGGTTATCGGCGAACCTCGTGGCGAAGTCGGCATCCCTCACAGTACCCCAGATTCCAGTAATGCAGCTGGGGTCGGTCTCAATTGACACTCCCAGTTCTTTGAGATATGATACGAAGAAGCCCATAGAGGCACAGCAGACCATGAACGGTCGCGTCGAGATCTTGTATGGCTCCCCACGAGGGGCCGCGTCGAAAGGAGCAAGGTCAATTTCCTGAAGTGCTGAAGTCAGGATCAAAAGCCTCAGTGTAGCATTGGCCTGAGGTTATAGAGGGCTCTCTGGCCGTCTGTTGTGTGCTGGATGGGATGGAACTCCACTGGCTTGACAAACGAATAACACCCCACACAGCTCTCGTCGCCTGCCTGTGTGCTCGGTGCAGAACTGCACATCGTCCTTACACCGTCTGGCATCATCACCGCAAACTTCGCATTCTTGATCAGGACCTGGAAACGATCATACACCTCGACAAACAAAGAACTGTGAAGAATGCAACCCCACCGCTACTCCGATATGGTGTGGCATCCAAGATCACTTCATTATAATCCAGGTTTCCAAGTATCCACAAAGAGTTCACACAGACCACCAGAAAGGGAGGTAGTTAGCCATCTCTTCTTGCATATTCAGGTGATTGTAACACAGGAGACCTCGGCCAGATGTGCCGCAAGGAATTTCCGGAAGGACACAACAAGCAAACTCTTCAAATCGATATTGACATTGACAGGGATTCTGCAATGGAGCAGCCATGTCGAGCAAGTCCTGCAATAAATAAATTCACAAGGCATGCATACAAGCTGCTCCGTCTTCCCCTGAACCCATTGGCAAGTTACAGACAAAATATTTCTTCTTCATCCATTCCTCCCAATCGGTTTTTGGGAGGAACGCTTTGGGGTCGTCGCTCTCTACAATCTCTGCAAATAGGTATGGCTCCTCAATTAATTGGATGAGTCCTTAAGGTGGGTGGTGCTGCACCTAAAGCGCGCGCTGGAACCAGCCATAGAAGCATTTGGTACTTGGCGTCCGTTCCTCCTGACCAGTCACTGTGCACATGGTACAAAGAACTCAACTCGCCAGGCCAAAAGACGCGGAGTGGCTGCAGGGCTCCATCGTCGCTCCTGAAAATAAATGTCATCATTGCAGATGGGCTCTTTTGGGTCCACATCTTGGATTTGCCAGCGGAAGGTCCCTTTGACAAGTGTTCTGTTGCTCCGTCTTCCCGGAACCCGTTGGCGAGTTACAGACAAAATATTTCTTCTTCATCCATTCCTCCCAATCGGTTTTTTGGGAGAAACGCTTTGGGGTCGTCGCTCTCTACAGTCTCTGCAAATAAATGGGTATGGATCCTCAATTAATTGGATGAGTCCTTTTAAAAGGTGGTGCCGCACCTAAAGCGCGCGCTGGAACCACCCATAGAAGCATTTGGCACTTGGCGTCCGTTCCTCCTGACCAGTCACTGTGCACACGGTACAGAGAACTCAACTCGCCAGGCCAAAAGACGCAGAATGGCTGCAGGGCTCCATCGTCGCTCCTGAAAATAAAATGTCATCATTGCAGATGGGCTGCTCTTTTAAATTTTTCAAACCTGGACCACCATCCGGACATTGGTAGCTCTTGCCTCTTTTGACAATTTGAATCAATTAAAATAGAGGCACCATACCCCCGAGATGGCGGGGCAGAATGAGAAAAGGGTGCTGCTGAGCGAGATAAAACGTCATGGAGAGACGCTTGTGATTGTAATAAACGCCATACGGATTGGGAGGCTCGGATGGTGTTTGCTCTTCAACAATCATGGCCGCCATCCATTGTTGGAGTGACAACGGCTCGTTGTTGTTGCTAGCTTGGATTATTCGTCCTCGTCCCAAACGGTTCAGGTCCGTCAGGAATCTAACTTTGCGTCGCAACTCTAGAGCATCCCTCAGAGTCATTGTCTCGTGCTTGACACCCTTCACGAAACCGTTTCGGACGTCATACCAACTGTAGAGCTGGAAGCATTGCAAGGTCGTATTGGTGGTTTGCAGAGTTGCCAGCAACGATTCCAACAGCTGTATATCATACGGACTGCCATACATCATTTCCAAACGTTTCAGTGAGTGGTTGTGTTGCAATGCGTCTGCAATGGGGGCAAACCAATTATTTCCCTCCGAATCGGACATATCTCGTTGGCTGTTGAAGGAAGTCATGAATTGTTGCAGCGTCGTGTTTTCTTGTACCACCCGTGCCAGCAGATCAGGGGTAATACTAGTTCCACTGTCATTATTATAACTTGTTGTATGATCCACAAAGCTAAAGCTCGTCACTGCCGTAGTGTTGGCAATCAGAATCTCGTACATGTCTTCTTGCGCATTCACCAGACGACACGGTCCACCCAGCTCCAGCTGAAATGTCTCGAGAACGGGAGAGTCTGTGAGAACTCTGGCAAGATTGGGCAGTTCCACTGGACGACGTCTTCTTCTTGGTGGTCCTCTCACATCTCGCACGTTGTTGTTGACGTTGTTGTGGTCGGGGACCACCGAAATTCTCATGAAAAGACGTCGCAGACAAGGTAGCTCGGACAGAGCTTGCAAGAACGAGTCCACAAAAGCCGGCGAGTGCTTCCCATTCAACGATACGTCTTTCAGGCGGTGACACTGCGATATCCTAGCGAAATCCAGGGTCCCCGCGGCAGGCAGTTTGTCCAGCTTGAGATATTCCAACGTGTCTTGGAGGTCAATGAGAAGTCTCTCAATCTCAGACTTGCTAGCAATCTCTCGACCTGACGCATTATTATTGGAGCCGTGTACAATAATGTAGCAATCCTCCCCTCTTCCATAGTGCTTCACCTCGAGGCTCGTCATCATCTCATGAGGAATTGAATTGAGCAAGTACTAGTACCACCAGAACAGCGTACTGGTACCGGTAGTCCAGGTTTCTTTGTCGCTCTGGCTGGAGGTCGCTGTCGTGTGCACTTCCTTTTTAACTTTGTGATTGGATGGATCTTTGTGGATTGGTTTCTGAAACACGGATTGAAGAAAGGAGTTATTTATTTGTACATGAAAAGATTTAAAGGAAATTATTAGCATCATTCCTGGCCAACCGAGTCTCAACTGACGTCATCATTCGGAACAGACCATGCCACCACGTGACCCATTCGAAGTTGGGTGGGCGGATACCGTACCGCTAGTTAGTAGGCGGAATACCCGTATGCATACCGTACCGCTACTGGTAGCTAGCTACTACCGGTACATCGTACCTCCTCCACCTTCCAGTTTTCATGTGAAGCAAGTCAAAGTCAGCTACAAGTAGTCTACTGCGCTTGGTACCTGGTACCAAATGATTGTAAAACAGTCTTCAAGAGAATAGACTAGACACCACGTCTTGGTCTCCTTGAAGCGCGCCAACCATGAAAATCCCCGCGCTTTTTGTCGTCATCGTATGTGCCGCCTTTTCTGGCTGCACTGCCTTTTCTCCATCTATGTTGAACACCGTTGCAAGAGCCAGCGCTATCTATTAATAGTACCGTTGGAGCCATGGAAGGCGCTGGGCGCACCTTTCATGGTGGCAAAATGCTACACATCTAACGGCTAGTATGTACTACATCATGAATGAATGAGTTTACGTCTTCCGATGCCCGGCAAGCACTCGAGCAGAGCAATCGAATGTACCGTACTGGAAGATTGATGGATCCTGTGGGATTCTCGTCTACGATGCCCACGCCGATGATGTGAAGCGCTATCAGCGTCGCGTGAAAGGAGCCTACTCCCGACTTGACGCCCTTGCCAAACAGTGGCTGCAACTCTGTTGCTATGTCCTATTACATGAAACACGTGGATTTCGACTATCGATTATTGAGCGAGCATTGTGCTTGGTACGACGTTGTGGACGGCAAAAGGAGTCCCTCAAGAACCTCATCCTTGCAGCTATCCTTACCCAGCGGCACCAAGGAGACGCCTAACGTCGCAGCAGTTCGGTGGAGCTTGTTGGCAAAAGTTTCACCAAACACCGGGGGTCGAAGTACCCGTAGCCATTGCGCCACACTGTGAACAGTTGATTCAAGATGCTTTCCCTCTTCCTCGTGACTTTGGACAAGGAAGTGAAAGAGCTGTTGATTAGCGGAGAACCCGTTGTCGAAGGCATGGTTATAGAACACGATAAGGTGCACTGGAAATTGGTCTCCAAGTTGTGCTGCAGGTGGGTGACAGAGAGATTAAAGGCGATGGCGCCCGCGAAATATTACCATTCAAATAAATTTAATGGCATCAAATCAATCCTGTTTGCTTCTCACAAGCAATTTGAAGCAACCAAGGTTAGAGTGGAATATTTGGTGGATCTCTTCCCAAGACAGAGATATCATGTACTAGTACCCCCGGGGTCGAACTTTGTTGTCTATCTGAATGCGACATCTGCTTCTAGTTTTGGATGAAAATTTCCCGTGTCCGTGTCGGGATTGTGGCTTTTTCATGTGCTACGGTACACTTGCCTGTCCCACTCGTTACACAATCGTATGGCTGAAGAAATAAGTGAGCATTGAGTAACGCAGAGGCTACCGTACGGCTGTACCGTACTAGTAGCAATGAGCTAGCTATGAGAGCTAGAGCTAGCCAGTACGATAGTAGCCGGACCTGCAGCAACTTTCAACTGCAAAATTTCAAACCAATGCTCCTCTTCACAGAAAATGTGAGGCAGATCTCGGTGCTCGGTGTTCCGTGTATCACTGGTACTGTACTCTAAAATAGAAAGTGAAGTACTCTAGGGGCCTCAGTACCAACCCGTAAGTTGCATTGTTACTGGATCACTTAAACTCGATGGATTTACAATCCGGAAAGGATCTAAACACCTTGCATCAGAATTATTCTTCTAAAACAGGAGAAAAGCCCCTCGTTCCGGACCCAGCTAATCGGAAAAGCCCCTTTTTACGGACCCAGCTTAAATTCAGGTGATTGTTAATTGTTACTAGTACTAGCCTTTAATTAAGTATATGTACTCCAGGATTCCAGGAGTACTCAAAGCTTCCGGGCCTGCCATTATTGCGCGAGATGTTTGATAAGTAGTGAATATGGTTTTCCAACGCATGGTTCAAAAAGGCGTGATCTATGGTACGAGTAGTGCTCGGAGCTCGGTGTGCTGAGTTAGAAACGTGATCTACCCGTAGTGCCTGTAAGATTGACTGTCTTCGTGCGATGCACCGGCCGCACCGGTACGGTAAATTAGGTACCACACCAAAGCTGCTTGGCTCTAGCTACCTCAGTCAATTTTGTTCCGATATTATGCAGCTCTCTAGCTAGCTCTAGATAGAATCAGATACTGAGTAGAGTTACGTGTACATGCAGTAGAGCCAGAGACACCAGGAATGCAAAACCTCACAGCATTGGCCGAAGCCACGAACCCGTGAAACCTAATATTCAAATACAATCCGCACATCACCTCAAGCGGGCTAGCTGAGCCTTCCCGAGTCCTGCACGCTCCCAAACTGAGCGAACTACTCGTGATGAAGTTGAAAGCTCACAAAACAAAAACTTGTTCAGCCAGAAGCAATCAACTCATAATTTGTTTTCTCAGTTCCTTGAATCTCCTTTCCAGCCAAACCATGAAGTTTCCTCAAGCTCTCCTCTTTGCACTTTGTGGCATTCTCCAATGCAATCTCGCCGTCTCCACCTTCTGCTCTGGAAGGGACCAGATCCAGCTCCCAGCTGGTTCAAGGTAGGGTCGCAAAAGCTCTTGAAACTTGCTTCGATGTTTTGTTTGTTGCATGTTGTCTCACACATCATTCGAATGATCCCTTTCACATCGCAGCAAGAACTTCGCTTGCCCTGGGACAACCAATGGTCAAGTGCGCATTAGGTGGGAAACTACCAATTTGAACGCCGAAGGCTTTAGTGATGACGAGTAAGATACCGAAGAGACGAGGCGAACTATTGGTATGATCATTCTTGTACTCACGTCTCGCGCTTACACGTCCAGGTACTTCATCAATGTCTTCGATGACGCAGATCAAGTGTACAGAGATGGACAACACGAGGATGCAGCCTTTGGCTTCTCGGGCACGCTCGGATCGGCTGGAGGTGACAATTGGGTTGTGCAGTTTGCCTGCGATTTGGAGGTCTTCTTTCTCAATTGCGAGGACGGTGACTTCTCCTTTGTTCTTGTGGACTGTGGATGCCCTGCAGGTATGTCAGCAAAATGAGCGCGACGAATAGAAACCATCTTCCTGGTGCCTCACCCTACCCCTTGCGGAAAACCAACTTATCACTCGAAGGCATGGAAGTTGACGAAGAATGCTCCATTTCGAGCCTGAACAGTGCAACCGATGCAACTTGTGTCCCAATGGCAACTCCGAACCCCACCAAGGCACCTGTCGCAACTCCGAACCCCACCAGGGCACCTGTAACTCCAAGCCCCACCGATGGACCTGGCACCGACGCACCTGTAACGCCTAGCCCCACCGACGTACCTGCCGCTTCCCCAGCAACTCCCGGCGGTCCTGGCAATTGCTTCTCAGGAGAGACTCTCGTTCAAGTCAAAAACGAGGTACAGCCCGTACTTATGAAGAATCTTCAGGTGGGCGATCATATTCTGACAAAGTCCAACAATTACCAGCCAGTCTACGCCTTTGGACACTTTGATCCTGCCACCGCTGCAAAGTTTGTTCAGATTCAAACCACGCATGACGAGGAGCCACCACTCGAGTTGACGGAGAATCACATGGTATATGTGGAGGGAAAGTCTGCTCCGGTTCCCGCCGGCATTCTTGCCGTCGGTGATGTCCTCGCTTCCACAGATTCCAAGGGACGACGAATTGAGTCAATCAAAGGAGTTTGGCGGGAGGGGCTCTATGCACCTCTGACACCGGATGGAACCCTCATTGTCAACAATGGCATTGTTGCTTCAAACTATATTTCCCTTCAGCCCGCAGAAAGCTCTGAGGAGTTTGTAACATTCAAAGGACTTGGTCCTATCCCTCTTTCTCACGCCGCTCTCGCACATGCATGGCTGAGCCCCGTTCGCCTTTACTGCATGGGAGTGACTTCTTCCAAGCGCTCTTGCAACAGCTACAACGAAGATGGATACTTGCCATATGCAGCCTTGGGTCTTGAGTTTGCCAATCTAATGGACAAGCAGAACCTCTTTGTGCAAGTGGCAATGCTAAGCCTCGTTCTTCTGGTGATTGGCGTCTTTCTGTCCATTGAGGTTCTGTTTGGTGCTGCCCATGGGCCTTTGCTGGTGTTTCTTATCATTCCCGGCATCTACCGTGGCTACCAAATGTATGGATCACGTGCCAACAAAAAGGGCAATGCCAAAAAGCTGGTCTAACCAGCGGTACCAGGTAGCTGTGGATGAAGTTGGTCGAGGCAGGCAGGGAATTCAAGGAGTTCAAGGCCGGATTTAGCTGATTTCATCTGGGGCCCACCTGAACCACCAACAAAAACCAACACCAACAAAAACAACGAAAAATGAGCCAATGGCCACAAAACGTCCAGAAACAGAATACATACATTTCCTTCCACTTTTCTTTCTCCATCTCAATCACCCAAAGACGAACGAATAAAGGGTCTCCCCAGCAAACTAGTACGAGGAGCCACAGGTCGTCTGTAAATGTACTCGCAGAACATAACCCCTTTGGGGAATTGTAATTCTTAAGTTAGCACATCATTCACTGCTCTACTAAACTAGCTACCGGTATCCTTTTAGGCAGCCAAGAAAGCAGACACCGTCTCGACTCCACACAGTGTAATGGATGGAGTTTTAGTCACAGTTGTGAGTGACAGTCCAATTCAACTCCCACGAGGAGTATCTAAACGTCAGTGGTCGTATGCATTTGACTTCAACTTGGATATCCATACCGCCAACTGCGTTCAGATGTCCGAGATGAGCACAACAGAAATCTCCCATACGGCACCCTCCACCAGGCCGGCCAGTGATGCCTTGAATGAATGAGTTGAAAGCATGACGACCATTTCCCCAATCCTCCTCTTTCTTTGTTATCTCTTTTCTTCACTATCCGTGGGGTTTGGTGTCACCAACGCCGACAGCGCCGTTGCCAAAGTGTTATGCGATGCGAGCCCTACATGCAACTCTGCTACACCACCAAGTACTAGTAGTACCACTACCATCAGTGACAAGAATGACAAGAAACTGAATGCCACTCGCGATAAATTCAATCGAGATGGGTATATCGTCTTGAAGAATTATTTTCGTAACAACGACGATCCAACACAAGAAGAATCGCTAGTACCGCTGCTGGGAGACGATTGGCACGACTTTTCGTTAAAGTATTGGAATCGCATCTTTCAAGTCCTTCACGAAAAGGGACACATCTCGGAACCCCACCATGTCATGAATGACGAATACAACAACGGCAAATTGCGTCATCCTGGCTACAAAGAAATTGTCCATCGGTATCCGGGACGCTACGAATTGTCTCTGAACCGTATTAGTGATCATACAAAAGAAGAAGATTCCTTGTTGTACCACGACATGCCATTGTTGCAACCGATTATTGACAAATTGGAGCACCTGATTTTATCCATTCTCAAACAGCATCCCAATTACCAAGAACTACCCGACGGCACCAAGTACAATCTACTCCATTCCATGTTGATTTCGGCACCCCATTCTCTGATTCAAAAATTCCACGTCGACACCAAACACACCAATGAAGAGGAACATTGGCCAGCACACATTATCAATGTCTTTATCCCGCTCGTCAACATGACAACGCGTGTGTTGGGGCCCACCGAAGTGGTGCCACGATCCCATGTCCAAACGCGATTCATGTACAGCGATAATCCACAGACCCGCAGTCAAGCCAAACCACTGGGGTCGTCCACTGTGACGCCCTTGATGAATGTGGGCGATGTGCTCATGTTTGACTTTCGAACCCTTCATCGGGGATTGCCCAATGTCAGTCGCAATCAGAATCGGCCCATGCTCGTGCTGGCATTCTCCATCCCGTCGTTTCACGACAAGGCCAATTGGCCAGGACCCAGCATCTTTGAATGAATTATGAAGCACAGGATATCATACCGGTACAGGAATGAATAGAATGGGCAATTAATACAAAGCTAGCTAGAGTAGTAGTAGTAGCATATTCCTTGGGAGTTCCAACTCATGCATGTGGCACGGTGTCATCAATTTATTGATTCAAACAGATCGACACGATTTTTCGGAGTCCAGCAGCATACGTATATAGTGGATCGTTAATACCGTATAGGCGTGACGCGCAAAACATATGTGTCTCCCGTTAAAAAAAGCCCTGCGCATTCCAAAACCAGCCATGCACAGAGCCTTAGTCAAGCAAATGAAGCAATGCACAGGCAGACTCGAGTCGCAAACGCAGAGGCTTTGCAACTTTCGAGTCCGGAGAGGAGCGGCGCCTTGAAAGCTTGTACCGGTACGAATTACCTGCCCCGATCCTTGCAGATGATTGTTGGCGTGCGTCCAACCAAAGCTTCTTCTGATAGAGACCATCTTCGTAATGGTGTCGGGTCGGCAATATCGTAGCTACTCACTCTGCCAGCCATCCCGGGTTGATCTATCCCAGAGTATCATGTTGAGAGCAACCCCGGATTTTGTGCACAAGTCGCATTCATGATGATGGTAGGACAGTCCTCATTGTTGAACCATCGGTCGCCCTTGGTTGCACAATGCAGTTTCGCCAAGGCAAACAAACCATCGCACCAACAATAGAATTGTTGTGGTGAGATGGGGGGTTTGCACCAGCAACAACAAAAATGTTGTGGTGGGCGGGGTTTGGTTTTGGGATGGGGGGTGTGCACGGTACAAGGCGATGCGTGAAATGCCTTGACCATGCGTGAGTGTTCATGTGCAAGCACAGAGGAACTCTCCAGTTTCAAAAAATGTGTTAACATAAGGAGGGAAGACCCTCCAGTATTATGTTAATAATACTAGAACAGTTACTACACAAAATCAAAGCCAATAAGGCGAAGAGAGATAGGTGTGATCTTTGAAGGAAATGCAGTGGCTTGGGAGGCCTATGAGATTCTTGGGAATTGTGCCGGCGCTACCTGGCTGCAGAGTGTTGATAAAACACTGGGCCAGGCCAGCTTCTCAAGGCTTGAACTTCAAGGAACAGACACGGGCCGAGTACAGAATACTGTAGCCTTTTTAAAAAGCTTAACCCTCATTTTGGCAAAAATTGCGCATGCACAGAAAAGATTGAGCGTGAGCCTACCGGTACGCACTGTGGCTAGAGCTAGCTAGATACAGTGTACCAGTAGCTAGCGTGGAGCGTGAAAGGAGAAGCCTGATCTCGTGATCCTAGCTAGTGATGACAATCACAACAGCTATCACAACCACAATCCCACCATTGCAATTAGATACGCAAGGTGTAAGTAAGTATGGGCCGAACAAAGAGAACCCCCGTTCGCTGTAGCGAAGCTGGCAAGAGCCAAGTGTTGGCTTCAGTAGACAAGCGCCAAGAGACGATCAAGGAAGGAGTCAATCAAGCTCAGAAAGAAAAACAAGCTCAGGAAGACAACCGTGGCTTCCCAACGTCACCCAGCAAGAGTACGCAAGCCAAACGACGCAGAGTAGAAGCACTTGCCAAGAAGAAACGACAACCAGAAGCTACAGAAGCAGTGTCATCTTCTAGTAACTTTGCACTAGATCAGTTCCTGTCTTCCACCTTTAGTAGTGCTGTCAGGGCTGGACGTCGCATGAAGCTTGAAAGTGACACCAATAGTGACACCAATGACAGCGATGACCAAGAGTACAAACCGCCACCCCAAGAGAAGAGCAACACAAAGAAAAAAGCCAAGCCAACCAAGGCCAAGATCACTTCCAACTCTCCAACTGCAAAAGCTAAGCCAAGGGCAAAGGCAAGCAGCAGCGAAATCTATGACACGTTCAGCGAAGACGAGGAACCACTGCCTAGATCCAGCAGACCCAGCAAGATCAAGCCTGCAAACAAATCAAAACGACTTTTCATTGAAGATGACGATGAAGACTAAACCCCAGCCTGTCAGCATAGTATGCATCCTGACGGCTTATTGTAGATAGATTTTGGGCAAAGACGGGATCTATATTTGATGTGCCAGCCATCACGCAATAATATCATGTCTAACAGTTTGATTCTGTCTCTGTTATACTGCTTCACCTGGACTTTCGAAACGCAAGAATTTCGAAGATGCCTAGCTCAGTGGCCATTGTTCTTTCGGGAGTGGCTTTCTTCTCTTTGTGAGATCCTTGAAGTGTTTGCAATGCCGGGTAGTGGGTGCGTGTTGTTTTGTCTGTACCGTGCCGTTCTTCTTTGCGACAGCACGCAGGAGCACGGCCACAGAGCGCCAACCACCAAAGCAATCCGACGCTTCAACAAACCAAGATGAGTTTGCAGCTCGGTCATCTCGCACACAATTTCCCCCGTTGTCTTTGAAGAGTCTGAGTCGTGGCCACGCACACCCAAGCAACTTGTGAACTGAGAAATAATCAATGATTAGCAGAAAGGACTTGTAAAAGAGAGCATTTCTGATCGGGTTGAAGGATTTGAGGCATTTCGCCTCGACTTGTTGTTTGTCATGAATGCCCTCGGCAAGGCAAGTGAGAAGAGACAGAACAAAGTCTTGCATACGGGCAGGACGGTCGGAACCTGTTGTGTCACGCCTAATCCTCCTCGTGAAGGCCCGAGTACTGATAGGAGTCACATACTTTGGACATGGTCGGCTGGTTTCTCGTTGTGTTCCCTGTTCCCTGTTCAAGCGTTCCAGGAGACACTTGTTTTCCATCGGTTCATGCATCTCTCTCATGTGAAAGCGGGCTAGTTTTGCTTTCGTTTGTGCAAAGCTTTGGTGTGCTCTGGGAGCCAATCAAACTTCTTAGAGTTTGTTTACTTGTCAATCTATGCAATGGATCAAGTATATGTGATTGTTGTGGATCCATGTCTTTATAAAAGTTTACTGCTCCTATGAAGAGTGCAATTCTCTAAGGTTTGTTGGCCTTTCCAATTCCAAGATTGCATCAATTTTCTTTTTCCAAGGTTTGATTCCGGTTGGTTTCAACCACAAGCCAAGGAAACCAGTCTCTTGGACTGCCCATTCACACTTGAGTGGATTGATGGTAAACTGGCAGCACCCCATGGGAAGTCTTTGGTATCGGTACCGGTATTTGCCGAAGGGCGGGCTAATTGTGCCTACCAGCTTTGCTTCTTGCTGCATCCTTCATTTCTGTACAGGCCGTGACTTGCTGAGGCCCAAAGGAACGGGTGGCGAGTTCAAATCACCGCAACTGACAATCGCCTTGAACAGCTTTGCAAATGGCTTTGACCTCCGCTGCCTTCATCGTCGTCGATTTCAGAGTCGCGAATTGCAATATCCTTGAACCCATGCTCAGGTCTATTGATCATTTCTGTCAGCAAGGTTGCAAGATCAGAGGATGAGTCCACAGCTAGGCTTGTAATCCTCGAAAGGTGTGGAAGTACGCGCCTGAATATATATATGATTGGCAAAAGAATTGTTGACTTCACACGAGCGCAATTTCATCAAAGATAGGCAGTTTCCAACAAGTTCGGTAACTTTCGAGAAACCACGGCGACCATGGACGTTGTGACATGATGCGTGAGCAATCAGACAGTTAGTTGACCGCATCAGTCGCGACACTTCGTTGGCGCACGATGTCTACGCCAATGCATGCACATTCCATCGTCGACCTCAGCCAGATCACGGCGGGCCAGAGGGCTCCGTAGGGCGGTAACAGCGCGACTGGTTTGATGATAGACTGTTGTCGTTCTATTACCATGCGTTGTCGGGTCACTTCACTGACTCACTGACTCACTCACTCACTCACTCACTCCATGAAAGACGCACAGGTTCGATGCGAACACCAGATTGTGAACTTTCTTTTGGGGTCCGTCCGTCCATGTGTGTGTGTGTGTTTGCTTGTTTGTTTGCTTGCGTTTCTTATCCATTCGTCTTTTTTCCACTTAATTCTTCGGGTGTCATGTCCAATGTATTGTGAAAGATGAGACTCTTGTTCAAATTGGGTGCGGCACCCACAGAGGCACAATGTTGTTCCTTAAAGTACGTTGCGGCTCGATTCAACCCCCCAATCATTTCACACAACATGAATGAAATACGATCGGCATAGTCTTGTTTGGTAAACGCGTGACCATCGTTGAATGTCGTGCGTTGTTTATTGTCGGGGTCAATAAAGAAATCGTACACGACCGAAATGTTGGTGGGTGGTTCTGCCAAGAGCGGGGACGCACATGTCGCTGCAATATCGACGGATCCCACAAAGTCTTGGGGGAGTCGGTGTTTGCCGAGAATGTACTTGCCAATGGCATATCGTTGACAATAATGTAGTATGTGTGGCTTTTGCGACATGGGTATGTTGCTGCCACGGCACATTTGATTGGACGGATACTTGGTCTTGTCGTTGAACAAATGAAAGCCTTCTTCGAAATGAGCCGATACCATGAAGGAATGTGCCTGTTGATGAGGCAATTTTAAATGTGCTGCCGCCCATGCTTGTGCGTACATTTCTGTTTACAGCCAATCAAGACATGCATGATTTGAGCCAAACCAGTTCCAGGACGAGAGAACGGGCAAAACCCCATCACACGTTCATTCTACCTACGTACCTGCAAGAATGGTATCGGGGAATTCTCGTTGTACCGGTATCGATAGTTGCCTCCACTTTTCCACGAGCTTGTAAAAGTCCCTGCCGGTAGCCATGTAGGGAGCTGCCAAGGTCGTAAAGAACATTACAAAACAAAAAAGGTCAGAACAAGGCTGCATGCAATGCAATGCCAAGCAGTACAGTGTCACAAGCAATTGTACAATACACTACTTACGTCCAGTGGAATAATTTTCTTGAATCTCAGCGGGTGTCATTTGCTTGGCCGGTGTGGGCAGTTCCGAGGGAGGAAATACTTTGGTGACATCCTTTAATCCGTGATACCACGTGGTACTGTATCCGTACTCTTGGGAAAAGGGAAATCCATGAGATACTTTATGACGGAGGGGATAGGATGTGCGTTTTCTCCAAATTTCGGGACCTTGATGAAAGTCATTGACAAAGGGTCTCAAAAAGATCATGTCCGGATCGAGTAGCATAATAATGGTCTCGTCATGCTCCGGAATCGTTGGATTGTTGTTGGAATATCCCAATTCTTCCTCCATCCAATGCGCCACGCCGTATGGTTTGTTTACTACATTACATGTCATTGCATGCAGGGGAGCAAAGCAAAAGCAAAAGCAAAAGCAGAGCAAAAGCAAAAAGCAAAGCAGAAGAAACAAAACAACAAAGCGTAAGTCAGATCATGGATCCTATAAACTTCTACCACCCACTGACAGCCTGTTGTTGTAAAACGTACAATAATGAAACCGGACATCGTTTCGCCCTGGTTCCTTGACGAGTCCATATTCGGGTGTCAAATGTAAATGAAACCGCGACGACTGTGCCGTAGGTGATCGTCTCCCCATGGGTTCAATTTGGGTGGTGTGAATCTTGCGAATGGCTTTTACTTCGTCGGGCGTACATCCCGAAGCAATGCGGGTGGCATGTCCATTTTGACCCGACTCCATAATAGAATGGTACAGCACATACGACTGCCAATTCTGTTTGACCGAGCATCCCGTGCTAAAGATAATGTGGAATTCCTGGTCCGGGTCAAAGGAAGCAGGTGGAGCTACCATTAATGGGTCGTCTTTGTCTTTGTCATTATCCTCCATATTGCGAGCAGTGGTAGATGATTGTTGCTTGACTGTGACTGCCAAAGCCAATGGTGGACCATGATCGTTGGGTTCACACGGCACAGTGGCATGGGTCGATCCAAGGATCCGTTGGTATGTGAACACGGTTGCCGAGAAAATGGCCAAATTCAGAATCAGACCACTGAAATTCAGCACCGTCCATGGGGGCATGCGGGATCTACTGCTGCTACCCATGCCTTGCTTGGAGGATGGTTTCTTTGGTGACACATTCATCGTAGCAGGCATAGCAGATAGACGATGAGAATGAATAGAAGATACCGTCGGAGGACGCGGTTCTCGCGCCATGGTCACCCAAAATCTTTAAAATGAAGCCAGCACAATTTGGTAGAACGAAAGAAGCTCGGTGTGGGTGGAAAGCATCCCAAGTGAGGGCTATCGTACCGGCACTTCCTTCCGTGCAGAAGGTTGGTGACAAAGGCGAGGATCCCACTACTGGTCTAGCTAGTAGCTGACACGGGGGATCTAGCTAGAGTAGGGAAGTTATCTATGGAAGCATATGGAAGCTAGTGGGAGGCCAGGCTTATGCAAGAAGAGGTGGATTTTTGGGACTACGGTTGGTTCCGTGGGATCAGGGGCCACAAATTGAGGACCAACACGGAGGCCAAATCGTATTGCTAGCTTGTGGTCTTGATACACACAACTAACTGAATTCCAAACTGGTTTATGGCTGGCGGCACTACCTTGGCACCCGTGAGACGCACAATCTTGTCCCGCCCCTCACAAGCATGTGCTCTCATTATCATAGAATGGATGCTCCTCCTGTACCCCAAAATGAGATGTTCACGTCGAAAGTTCAAGTGCAACGCACAGAGACAACTCCAGTCTGTTTATCAATACATGGTACCCATGTTACAAGAGAGCCACTACGCCACAGCAAGTCGCATGAGATCGTCCTGACCCTCACAAGCTGCTCCAATGGATACTCATGTACTACCGTGCAGGATGAGAAATTCAGCAAGTCGAAAGCTCCATGGCAACGGAGACAACTCGGGTTGTTTTGAATACAACGTATTGCAGCACCAGTAGTCGTATGGTAGCAACATGGGAGCCTCGTACCGCAGCGTCCTCCCGCACCGTACCACAGAGACTTCCCTCTTATCCAGCCTCTCCATCTATTTGTGCCTCACGCTCGCAGTAGGGGCGCCCAACCCCATCCCAATGGGAGCAGCTAACGGACGCCTCACTCTTCCTGCACTTCCATGCAACAAAACTCACTGATGGGGCAACTTTCACATTGGAACATACATTTCAAACCGCCCTTGTTCCCAAGAAGCAAGCCACGAAACCATGCATCACGATTCATTGGCACGAGCATCGTTTCTTCGTTCCATTTGCTCTTGACGGCTCGTTTTACCGATACAACGACAAAAAATCTTTTCGTACAGCCACAAACACCGTAAACAGCACGCCAAATGATAGCTCCTGCAGCCATCTATATCATAATATATATATATTATGATATCACGCAGCCCCAACAACAACCCGATTGATCCCAACAACCGTCATTATTTTTCGACGCTGGTGAGACGACCAAATCACGGAGCCGTGAAGAGCAAACGGTATCCATAAAGGACGACCTTGTGGCATCTCTTGTTGCATCAACAGACTCACTCTCTTCGACGACTTCGGTCTGCTTGCGCATTTCAATACACGCCACAAGACTCTCACGATAGGCTGGTATCAAATGGTCACTATTTGATTGTTTTGTCGGTCGGCGAAACATTCACATTCATACACACACGAGTGAGCCATCGAAGGAACGGCGGCATCATTTTGCTTTGCCAACTCCTCGACAAAGCCAGGCAGGCTTACCTTATCATGCGGTCATTGACCTCAAAGTATCGCAAGAAAGTATGGGCTGGATTGACAAAGCCCGATCGTATGGTAACAAGAGGCTCTTCCCCCTTGGCTGGGAGTGCTTCTAGAGTCCCATAGAGTGCAATGATATTTCCTGAAAGGAGAGAAGAACGACGCAGGCAACGTGCGTTTGGATGAGTGTAATGTTCGCTCAGACATCATGGCACATTCACGATATGTAACTGACCTGGACAATAGAGATGTTCTTTGTGCTCTACTTGAACGGCAGCTTGTGCTTTTCGCATGATCTCTATCAACTGCAAAAAATCTTCTTCCGTCAATTGTTTGATTTTCTCTCCACTGACGGCCTCCTTGGCAATGGCCCAAAAGTCATCCAATCCTGCTTCCTTCATTGCAACGTTTAAGCCTTCCAACATTCGAATCAAAATCTCCACGTTGGCAATAGCCTGTACGGTATACATGTATCCATGGGAGATTTGATTTGATTCGATTCGATTCCATTCAGCACGGCAGTTAGTTGTTCCGGAAATGGCAGAGTGAGAGAAGTGTCAGACTACTCAAATCGAATCTCATTGTTTCCTTGCCCCACTATGGCAAAAACAACTAACTAACGAACGAACGTACCATGCGTGCCACACAATCGTTTCGATTGACGACAGAGGTAATGAAGGCTTTGGATTTGGTGGCGGATTGATGGTCCAGTACCGGTGGCGGGGCAAAACAATAGGCGTGCAGTCGCTCTGGCGCATGCAATTCTTTGAATTGAGCTCGCAACAATACGGCCACGACACTGGCAGCTCCCGCCCCCAAACTATGTCCGGCAATTTGAATGTTGTAACCCTGTTGGATTTTCTCGTCTAGAATGGGTTTGAGTTCATTGCAGACTTTAATGCTGGATGCCAAAATGCCCTCGTGTGCTCCAATTTCTTCTTCCTCGGCCGTGCTAGTGGTGGCATCAAATGGTGAAAATGGAATGCATTTGTGGGGAATGGTGGTTGCGAGACAGTCGGTAATCATTTCCTATAAGCAAGCAAGAAGGACAGGATATCAGATGGATAAATCCAATCCAATAGGGCTACAATGCAGTGAATTTGACATTGACTCACCGAACTGGTACTGGTTCCCTTGATGCCAATGAGAATATTCTTTTGGGTTGAATCGATGGCTAGAAAATATCCCACTCCTCCCGTTTCCACGTCGGTGGAATGACGCACTAGTGCATAGTCCGTGCTGCCCATGAGTTCTTGAATGGCCGCTTCCAATGGCATGCCATTGTCGTGATATTGATACGCATAATCCGCCAGTTCCAACCAAATGGACAAAAGTCTCTCGAGATGCGCCGTTTTTGGGCGTTCCACCTTTTCAAACACCAGGCGTTCCACATGCAACAACTTTTGATTCCGAAATTGAGGCTTGGTGGTGATGGTACCAATCAAGGCTTGACACGAACGTAACAGTTCCTCTTCGTTCAAGCTGCTCTTCGTCTTTTCTGCCACCCGCTGCAGCATCTCCTTGATCCGAGAATCCAGCACATCTTTGCTTCGGTAGTTGATGGTACTACCGGTAGTAGAGCTTGTTGACGCCATTGTCGTTCTTCTTGTCGTCGTTTGTTGGTCTGGCTGATGAGGCGGCTGATGGAGGCGGCAGCAGTTGCCGTTCCGAAGAGTGGAAGAAAAGATTTGTTCGCCTTCCGAAAAAGATCGCTCAAATGCGTTAGGAGATCCAAATACAGTACTGTACGGTATTTTACAGTAATGAAAAAGTCATTTCAGTACCGTTTCAATTTTGTCGGTTCAAATTGAGTCCCGCGAAAACGACGCTGCGACGTCGCTGCGACGTCGCTGCGTCACTGCGTCGCGACGCTGCGTCGCTTTCGTGGGACTAAAATCGAATCGAATCGTGACTATGTCCCTACTCTAAATCCACAGTCAAGTAAGATCCAAGAGGAGGGAACGAGAAGATTTAACATTTCTTCATTGGGTGGCACCGTACCACTCAAACCCAGCTCACTTTTTCAGCTCCGAGCTAAATTAAAAGGCAGCGTCAGGGTTGTCCATCATTGCCATGCATGTCCATACGGTACCTACCGTATCACCACCGCATGCTGCTATTACCAGAAGAAGATCCACTGGAGTTGCTCTGATCGCAGTGCAGCAGAGGGTCGCCGTTTCTCCTTGGTCCCAGCGGTTCGGTACCCCTTCTCATGCTGCTCTTGTCCAGGTTGTCGTGGCGGCGTTGCCTCCTTGGACCCAATAATAATACTAGTATTCGATAACTAGCTAGCTACCGGTACCGGTAGCATGTCAAGGGATAAAGTCATGATGCATCCCATACATGCAAGCTTCTAACAGAAACGATCTACTGGTGGATACAAGGACTCGTGCGCTACTTGCCACGGCATCAATATATATATATATTGTCCCCATCAGAGCCTGAATATCTTTTTTCTCAAAGACTTGCTCTTTGGTGCCGCTTCCGAGTTTTTCACTTGGATGGATGCCACAAGACTTTCTCGGTACGCGGGGACTGTGTGGTCACTTGAATTGGTGGAGGAAAACGGAAAGGTAAGTGCAAGTTGGTCGAAGCCAGTGGATCTTTTAAAAGAAACAGCTAGCTAAAAAGCTCACAAAAGCTTACCTGATCATGCGGTCATTGACTTCCAAGTATCTCTGGAAGGGATGTGCTGGATCCAAAAAAGACAGATTGTACAGTGACATCCGGTTCTTCGCCCTTGGCTGGCAGATCTTTGATGGTCCCATAAAGGGCAATAATTTTGCCTGGCACACAAAGACACTTCCCGGCTTCAATCTCTACTGCTGCCTGGGCTTCTTCCATAATGTTTAGCAATCCATCAAATGGATCATCTGTCAATAATTGCTCCATCACGTCCCCCACAACGTTTTCTTTGGCAATGCTCCAACAGCTGTTCAGTCCTTCTTGTGTCATAATCTTTTCGTTCAATCCTTCCAACATTTTGACCATGATCTCCAAGTTGGAAACGGACAGTCTTGGAACGCAGTCATTCCGGTTGGCCACAGAAGTGATAAAGTCTTTGGATCTCACAGCAGAGGGGTGATCCAATACGGGTGGTGGGGCAAAGCAATATGCATGAAGACGTCCTGGTTCATGCAATTCTTTGTATTGTGCCCGGAGCAACAATGCGAAAACACTGGCAGCCCCTGCCCCTACTAGACTGTGTCCTGTGATGCGAATGGAGTAGTTTTTCAGAATGTCGTCACCACGGAACACGTCTTGGAGCTCTTGGCGCAATTTGATGCTGGACGCTAGTACACCCTCATGGGCTCCAAAGCTTTCCTCTTGTTTGGTTGTTGGCATCAAAGGGTGAGTGTGGCACACATTTATGTGAGATTGTGGCAGCAAGAGAGTCTGTTATCAAATCCTAATAAACAACAGCAAGAGATTGATGATTTGGAATGAGATAGATACGGTTCGGTTCAAATGCACAATGCATTACCGTAGGCCAGAATGCCGCAGAACACCACAAACCAGATAACTCACCGATGCTGAACTAGTTCCCTTGATTCCAATGAGAATAGATTGCGAGCTGTCATCGACAGCTACATAGTGTCCTACTTCTCCCGGCTTGATTTTGGTTGAGTGAAGAACCACTCCTTCCCCGTCGATTCCTGTATTGCCGCCTCCAATTGTGACTTTGATCCAGCGTCATTGTACTCGTGGGCAAAATATGCCAATTCCAGCCATGGTAGCAATTCCTCCAAGTCTGCTGTTGTAGGTCTTGAGATCTTCTTATTACTACCCTCTCCCTGCTGCTGAAAGATAGCTTGTTCCACGTGTAGTAATTTGTGATTTTGAAACTCGGGTTTGGTTGTAATGGCCAATATCAGCGCATGACAGGCTCGAAGCAGTTCATCGTGATTCAGATCACTCTGAGTCTTTTCTTCCAAGTGCTGCAGCATCTCTTTGATGCGATCATTGATTACGCCAATGCTCCGGTTGTCCTCCACGGCTACAAGAGTGCTGCTCGTTGCAGCAGCGACCGCAGTTGTTGTTCCGATAAAAGGCGTATCTGCCATACCAGGCGGTTGGAAGAGCTCCATGGAGCTTGCTGATGGTTTGGGCAGGAAAAGCACGCGACATGGCCACAAGACAGAGCAAGAAGCTGATCATAGGCGCCATCTCAAATAGTTTTCAAGGAAACATAATGAATACACTTGGCGTTCGAGGGTGGCCAAAAGGCTCCCACAAAGCCACAACATGGCCTTCACAGACGAAGGAATGGATCCAACCGAGTGTTCCGGTAATGATGCTGAGAAGAGAGGAGAATCGAATCGAATCGAATCGAGAATTCGCCCTCGACAAAGTTTGCCGGAAGCCAAGATACTATGATAGTACCAGTACATGTAGTACGTACCACTTTTACATCTACGGTAACGCGTGCTGCGCACCATTCGGGATTCGCGGAAGTCCGTCGGACTCTAAGCTTAATTAATCATTCACAGAGCGAAAACGTGAAAACAACCGGCTGTCGTCTCTTCTCAGTAGATGCCTTAGTTAATAACCACTTCATTCAATCCTCGTCGTATCTACTTCGCCAGTACGTAATAATAGCTACTGGTAGTAGTTTGCGTGGACGTATACGGTAGTCCATGGCCGTCAAGCGGGCAGAGGACAATCGTGTTGGAAAGAAACTGACAACCGAAACACCATGATAGACTCTCACATGAACACGATCACCCGCCGTATACGTCTACCTGGATGTGGTACGTGATGACCATCCCGATCAATCACAGCGAACCGCAACACGAACAAAATCCGATCTTCCACGACGGAAACACGCCACGGTGAGATCGTGAGATGATAGATGCTCCTTCATTTCGAGCCTATCATTCTCAGTTCAAAGCTCACAAGCAAAATCAATCAGTCTCGAATGAGTTCAATTCCACCCAGTACTTATTTCATCGTCAACGAAACCAACCAAGCCATGTCCTCTACAAGCTCTGACTCTGGAAGCAAGCGCTCTGCTGACCATCTCGTTCCCTTCAACACTACAAACAAGTACTTCAAGCCTTCTGCCGCCCATCGGTTCACTCCTTGCATCCGACCTGCATCTGCCCCAGTTCCAACGGAACCCCCTGCAAAACGCCGCAAACCATGCATGACCCTTCCACTTCCTCAAGATTCAAGTTTATCTTCGCCTCTTCCGCCGCCGCTGTGGAGGAGGAGCCTGTTGTTGAATATTTCGACCCCAAGCTATCGCCCAGTTTCCACGGAACCCCCTGCAAAACGCCGTAAGACCATGCATGACCCTTCCACTTCCTCGAGATTCAAGTTTATCTTCGCCTCTTCCGCCGCCGCTTTGGAGGAGGAGCCTGTTGTTGAATATTTCAACCCCCCAATGCAAGATGATGATAGTACCGACCAAGAGATTTTTGGAATGCCGCTCTTCTTCCGCCCTTGAACCAGGAAAACCAGAACCCTGTTGAGGATGAAGCAAACGCTCTGTCGGCCAGAACCCTGTTGAGGATCCTGTTGAGGATGAATCCAGCTCGGACGCATCAGAATCAGTGTTGGATATCGAAGACGGCAGCACTACCGAATCCAAGCTCTCCGTCCCTGCCGAGATCTCTGTCCCCACTGATGCAATGGCTGCACTCTATGAGAACTCCATGGACGAGAAGTCTTCCTGGTCTGCAAGACGTTGGTTTCGATTCCTCCGAGTCCCTTTGCTGGCCACCATGGTCGTGGGAGCTCCCTACTACTCGGCTGCTAGTGTGGTGTGCAATCAGCAATCGGGCATGTGCATGCTTTTGAAGCCCAAGGTGTAGTGCTGCCAATGCTATCTTGAGCTGCCAAGCAACCCATCCTTTGATCAGCCAACGACATGAATGGTGACAGGAGTGGGAATCCAACCGGATGACCGCAGAAGATCCTGTTGGTTTGCAGCGGATGACATGAATGGTGACAGGAGTGGGAATCCAACCGGATGACCGCAGAAGATCCTGTTGGTTATGCAGCGGATGACATGAATGGTGACAGGAGTGGGAATCCAACCGGATGACCGCAGAAGATCCTGTTGGTTATGCAGCGGATGACATGAATGGTGACAGGAGTGGGAATCCAACCGGATGACCGCAGAAGATCCTGCCTGCTTTGTGCAGCAGATGAATGGGTGACAGGAGTAGGAGTCCTTCCGCCGCATGACCACATAAGACCCTGTCTGTTATGTACTCATTCATATTATATATTATAGAATCATCAATCAACACATACTCTTGTCTCCTTCTCTTTAGAATCATCAATCAACACATACTCTTGTCTCCTTCTCTTCCAGCTGAAGCTAGCTAGCTAGACTATAGCTACTCTCAGTGTCAATGATGTAGCCATGGCAAAACTGGGATCGGAGCCCTTGTGGGAAATGGTGTATCTAATGAGCTTGGCGCTGATGTGGATGCAGTGTATAGTCGGAGCCACAGATGGACCAAGAGACACTCCACCATTGCACCGGCCATCACAGTCGAAAGAGGAACATGTTCCCAAAATGAAGGCATCTGTCACAAAGTTGCTCCAGTCCAAGGGCGACATTTGCTTGGATCCAGGCGGGCAAGCAACCTGAGCAGCAATTGCCCACATGGACAGTTCGTCGGTGTGACAGTGTTTGCTTGCCACACCACAGCACTGCGCAAGCATCTTTCACTTTTTTGAATGTCAAGCTCATCTTGACTTCAAGTGCTCATTCTTACGTTCCATATCCACGAAGAGACACCCTTTCAGGGATCAGAAAGCCAGCGAGGGCCAACATCCACCGAAATCGCCTGCTGGATGCTTGTTGTTGTCCGTAACGCGGCAATACAATGTATGTCAAAGCCCCATTGTTGTCCCGAGCCTCCAATAAAATGGTCACGGAAGGCCCTGGCGCTACCGGTGGCATCTTGGCCATTGGGGGCGATTGATTTACTTGTATACACAATCTAGAGTACCCTGATGGTGTTATTTCCTCGACGTTCCAATGGATCAGTGCACGCTGACTCTTTACGCCCGAGAAGCATCTGCAACAAAGCGAGTACTGCACCCTATCATTATTGTTGCGATCTCTTGCTGCATCCTGCACTGTCCAAATCGAATCGAATGACATCGAGCATTGTGACGTCTTCAAACAGCCATGCAGCCAAAAGGAATGGTTATATGCACTGCACTCACTTGTTCAAAAGTGCACGACGACTGTCCAAAGTTGGAGTCGCGGTTGGTGTGGTTCTGGGGGAGTCGAGTCGCAGCATAATATCTGCTGGCACGAGACTATCCCCCACTAGCAAGGGAATTAGCTAGTAGAGTGTTTTCCGCTGTCCGGTTCATACCAAGCAAAAATAAATGGTTCAGTTAGTTGTTGCCATGGTGAAAGGAACAGTAGCAGACGCTGCATCTGCTGGCTTGGGTATTGGACTTGTCTCCGTATCAAAGAAGGGAGTTGATTGATGCCCGAGTCGAGTCCAACTGTAGTTTCTGGAGAATTTTTAAAATTTGGTTCTCGTGGCCACGACAATACAGGACGGTACCGTGGCAAATAAATAGTGACGATAGAATGAATAGAACCAAATCAAGCCAACAATAGAGAGCTCATGGTTGCTGGCTGTCTGTTTTGCAAATAGATAGTCTGCTACTGCACCTTGGTTTGCTTCCACCAGGACCACGCCTTCGTCTTGATATCTATTGGTGGCCACCAAGGACGCCTCAACCAGGAGATCATCCTGGTTTGACTCTTTTGGCATCATTGTCGAGCTTTGTTTCACCAATCAATCACATCGTAAACACTATAGTGGCTGATATCCCAGCTTCTTCCATAAGTACCGTAGGCGGTGAAAATTGCATCCAAAGAGGAGCTCCTACAAAAGTGTACTGGTGGGGGTCCTGGATCAATGAAACCTGGTGAATCACATTTGTGGTCATGTATTTCCTTTGGACGTTCTACTCTGCTTCTTCTACTTTTCCTTTTCTTCCGGCTACTAGCATCGTGGATTCTGCTGTGGGAGGTGGCGTCTTTGGGAAGCAGCGGCAGCGGATTGAGAGGAATTTCTCTCTTGGAAAGGTTGGTGGGCACAGCTCTGGAGTTTCTGAGCCCTGCCTTGCACGTCGTTTGACTCAATTGCTTGTCTCGTTTCAGATTCGATTCAATTTCCTACTCACGGCTCTTTTCTACGTTCCAAATCTTCGCTTACTTCGACTGGACCGACTCGACTCGACTCGACTCGACTCGAGTCATCCTGGGATGGCTGGTTCATCTCCAGCAGCAGCCAGTGCGGGATCGAGGCGTGCACGGGAACATCATCAGCTCGTTTGGATCTTCTCGCCGTAGCCATAACGATTTCGGCAATATCAGCCTGCATAAAACCGAGGTCTTCCTAACCTTTTTCTTCACCGCCAAGCAACCACCCCATGGTAAGAGACGTCGACCTTGTACATCTATCTTCATGGCATCCCAACAGAAACTTGGCAAATCTCGTGGATCTTTCCTTATTCCTTTTGCGTGTGGCGCCATCATGAGCTGAGGATTGGAGATTGGATGGAGGCAGTGGGCGATCGACGAGTCACGAGTCGAAGGAAAATGAATGGCTGGCTGGAGCAAGGGACGATTTAGAGAGCATGCACGCATGACTGGTTGTCTTCTCGGTGGTTGTACGGTCCTCACTTTTTCAACAAATTTGGCCGTTACCAGCCGAAGTGTCGAAGTTCTTGGCACTTCACAGACACCCGAAACCTCAGTCCTGGTTCTATTGACGTCATTTATCTACCCCACGGGTACTGTATGCATTCTACCTAGCTAGCTAGTAGTAGAGAGGAAGAACCTTCAACAGTTTTAAAGTACCTGGTACAAAGCGAGGTTACGAAATGTTAGCATGCAACCGTAGGTAGCTAACTGGTACCTGGTACCGGTAGCATGAGTGATGCCAAGTTCATGTTTATTCTTTTAGTAGATACAAAACCTTTTTCATTTCGTTTCTGTCTATTCTCATGGAATGAGTCGAATCAATCAAATCGGAGCACTCCCCAATATCAAAACAATGCTGGTTGCGTCTGTTTTTTCCAACGATTCTTGTCAAAACTCAATCCTCGTAATGCGGGACCATTTTAGTTAGTTTGTGCATTGCCATCTGGCTCTTTTCGACACTCTGCTACATTAATTTTCATGATGTTCCAGCTGCCACACCACAGATTGTCGTTGTCGTCTTTGGTGGTAGTATTGACAAAGGCATTGCCGTTGTTGTAGCCGCCGCCGATGACGCTTCAGGCCCTGCCGAACGACAAGGGAAGAACGCCTCACAATGGTTCGGGCCTGTTGAATGGCTTCCGTCGTGTGTTGGTTCCATCGATTGGCTTCGGCTTTGGCAAGTTGGAGCATTTGCTGCTTTCGTCGCTTCAAATGGTGCGATACAATTCGGTACGTGAGCGGATAGTAAAAGAGCCAACATCCAACGGCAGCCTTTTGGGAATAATTGTTCGTGTCCAGAAACAGCGTGATTTGCTGCCGGATGTAGTGCCACCAGCTGAGAATAAAGTCTCGGAACTCTTGAATAACGTAATGATTCTTCCAAAACGTTTGCCAACGGGTCATGACTTGACCTGTCTCATACAGGAACAGCATCAGTGCCGTGTAGAAAAAGACCATGTGGATTCCAACTGCCAACACAAGAGAAGCCAAAATGATCACGGATTGCTTGGAAGTCCAAAACCTGTACTCGTTCTCCACGTTGATGATTCTGCTGTGCTGTTTCTGTACTAGTTGTGGCCTCTGAGACTGACGATGTGCTGCATTATAATCATAGAAATGGTGTTTATAGTCCAAGTAATCCAGGTTCAGCCGTCGTTGCCTTTCCCACGCACGCTGCAACTCTACGAGACTTGATCGGCAAAGTTGAGTGCTATTACGGATGCTCCTTCTTTTCTTCCTTTGGATCATCATGTCGCCCTCACTACTAGGCGCCGACCCTATTCTCGACAAGTGCATTCGGATGGTGACCATGATTGCCACTAAAAAGTTGTTGTGTTTTTCGATTTTGTGGGGCTTTCTTCTTCATTTATTTCGTGTGTAGCCCAAGACCATACCGGTATACTGGTACCACCAACACTCGCCACAGACCAGATCTCTCTGTTGGTATACAGTGCGCACTATTGAAAGTGTAAACCCGTGACCGGTGGCTCAATCATTGGCAGCTCGGCCAAAAGAAATCCGTTCGTGGTCTTGAATAATGTCGGAGGCAACTTTTGGTTGGTTGCTTCTTTGTGGTGCACCAGTTTGAAAGTTCCTCCGAATCCAGTGCTCCCAATCTCCCAATCCAGCTTTGCTGTGCTCCTCCTAAGCCATAAATTCTCCGACTTCAATCACGCCCTTGCCGGTCGAGGAACATGGCGCAGTAACGAACCTTTACTTTCCCGTGTTATTCGATTCGTGACTCATCCGAGCCAGATGGAGTGGAACCTTGAATTGATTGCTCCAAATCAGGCATCATGTTCTGTCAGGAACAAGAATAAGAATATTGCATGTCCAGCCTCACTAGCTACTAGCTACTAGCTACTAGCTAGACTACATGACTAGCGAAACCGGACCCCGCTCAAGGAGTTAAAACTCTTCGCTGGCTTATCTGAAATCAAAGGGTTCTTTAGTTTGTAAAAGCGGGATCACCCCCACCGGTACAAGCGCGGACCGAGCTTGACACAAGAAGAACCACCATCACGATCCTGTGCAAAGAACCGTGTCGCGTACTGTACATGTACCGGTACGCCCAAATCCTTAGTCTTCTGCTTTTCCTCTCATTATTTTATCTCCCATGATGATCTCCTTTTACAAGATTCTACTGCTTATCTCTCTTGTTGTTTCCATTGTGGAGGCACGTTTGTTGGGAGAGAAGGTGACCCTCTGCCAAAATGGTGCCACCATCTCTGTGGGTGCCAATGCAGTGGATGCACTCATCAATCAAGGAGCTACCAGAGGACCCTGCTGTGATGGGGTTGTTTCGAATCCGGAAGGACCAGACTGTGAACAGCAATGCTATGATTGCAATACCTGCCCCAATGGATACAATGATGGTTGCAATGACTGTGACTGTGGGCCTGATGGTATGGTCCGGTGCACTGAAAGGGCCTGTTTTGAGTATGAGCCCCCTTCTTGCACTGTGGATTGCAGTGCTACATTGTGTATCGCATTGGCCTGTGAGCGTGATGAAGTAGCGTATGTCCCCCCCGATGAGTGTTGCCCAGTTTGTGTGGATCCGTGCAAATAATGAGGAGGAGATGATGGCGAGAAAGGCTTTGCACATCTTCCGTCCAAGCCAGTAATAATGGATGCGTCTAGCTAGCTGGAGGTGTTGCTGTACTTGCTACAATTGCAGTGATTGCTCAAGTCAGGCACGGATGTTCGGGTACTGCCCGAGTCACAAGAATACTGCATACCTGGTATCCCGCCAGAGTATATATTTGACTAGCTTAACTTATATTTTATTGAACTTATTCTAAGCTAAGCTCACCATCACGCCACAAAAAGGTGAACACGAATAGTATTCTTTACCGGTAGAAGTGTCAAAGCTGGTGGTGGTACTAGTCTAGCTAGCACGGTATCATTTGTCACGGGGAGAGCCTTCGAGAAGGCTTTCTTGGAACTCTGATCTGTTGTTTGCTTTTGCAAGCTCCCTCTTCATACCGTGTGGTATCGTACCGTGGTACAGACAGAGCACATCATGCTGCTGTCAAGTGGGCTTGTCCTTTGTGGTCTCAAAGCCCAGACCACAAAATAATAGATAGCTACCGGTACGGACAGAGATGGTTGAGGCAATCAGTCGAGTGAGGACTGTCGTCTGTGTTGCCTCGAAATGATCCTTATCAGTTTAGTCGCCCGGCGACCGGCCGAGCCTATTACAGCCTGCTGGCTTCAATGTCGATGCAGATGTCAATCGAACTGGGGAAGCCGCACCGTCACACCTTGACCTGACCTAATCTACCGCTAGCTAGCTAGATCTTGTGGACCATGGAGAAGACAAGCCACCACAGTAGCAAACGCGCCGCCGTGAAGAAGAGCGTAAAAAAGGCGCCAAAGAAGGAGTGGGATGATTGGATTGCCGATCTAAGAGAGTACAAGAGCCAACATGGGACCGTCAATGTGCCGGCACGGTGCAAGGAGCATCCATCACTCTCCACGTGGGTGGCGAATTTGCGACGGCGCAAGACATTGACCGACGAGCAGCGAGCGCAATTGACCCAGTTGGGATTTATGTGGAAATGTGCGGGTCGAGGTCGTTTGTCGAAAGATTGGGACGTCATGTTTGAGCGCTTGCTGGAATACAAGAAACAAAATGGAAATTGCATGGTGCCGCAAAATCGAGAAAAATATCCGCATCTTTCGTTGTGGGTCAAGAACCAACGAGCCGATTATCACAAGGGAACGTTGGATGAAGGACGTCAAGAACGACTCGAGGACGTGGGGTTTGTGTGGCGCGTTCGTCCCAATTCCAATACTCATGCCACCCGAAAAGATACGCTGTGGCAAAAGCGCTACGAGGAATTGATGCAATTCCAAAAACGACAGGGACATTGTCGAGTTCCACTGAGCTACAAAGAAAATACATCACTTGCCGGCTGGGTCAACAATCAACGCTCGCTCTTTGCCACGGGGCTCATTCGAAAGGAACGACGGGAAAAATTGGAAAAGATTGGCTTTCATTGGAACCCATCGGGTCGCCCCAGTGCCATGAAAAAGGCAGAACCCAAACGATAGCAAGAAGATTGGGCTTTGTGGTTGGTTTAGTGATTTCTACAGAGCCTTCAGTATCGTCACGGCTACAAGTGCTTCTTCATTGCCTCCGTTTTGTACCGTACGATGCGCTAAATTCGATTTGTAGATCATTCAACCTTAAAGCCGTTCTCGTTGCTCGCTTGTACAGTACTTTTAGAAGTACCTACCACTTTCCTCTCTCACATTCAGCGCTGTAACCTGTACTGTACTGTACTGACTGCTGGCTGATCACCAATCTGGCACCCTCCAGCCCCCGAGCTCTTACGTGGTGATCTTTCTATTCGCGGCTTGTTTGAACGCGGTACTACAGCTATTATTGACGTACGTGTCACTGATTTGGACTGTGCCTCTTACCGCAACAAAGATCCCGTCAAAGTTTTACTTGCGAGTCCAATCGCGCTTCTTCCACCCCTTTGTTGTTTCAGTGGATGGCATGCTTCCCCCAAGCCAAGACTCTCTTACAACGCCTTGCTTCTGCTACTGCCTCCAAACTCAATTTTCCTACTCTCAATGATGTTCTTCATGCAGACCCGTATCTCCATTGCCCTTGTGAAAGCTACCCATTTATGTCTCCGTGGATCCCGCAAAGCCAAACCCTTTGCCCCCCGTAATGGTCCTCAATTTCTTGCCCCTGATCCCACAGAACCTAGTCCTGAATTTCGACTGTTCTTTGCTTAAGCCTGGCCCCGGCTGGCTTCCGTAGATAATTTCCCTACTCTAAACCCCCCTTATATATCTGGCACTCACTCTCTTGTGACATCCACGTCACTTGAATTAATTCAATAGGGTGGACCAAAGAGTCAACCAATTTATCAGTCAAAAGAGTCAATTAAATTACACAGAACTAGATGCAACAATGTGGGAAAATGACTGCTTTTTCTGACTTTTACACTTTATACGGGGGGCGAAGGGTTCATGCTCGGAGAGGTGCTTGGTGTGCCGCTGGGTTTTATACTGACTGACGGGTTCATGCTCGGAGAGGTGCTTGGTGTACGGCTGGGTTTTATACTGACTGAAGGGTTCATGCTTGGTTCAATGCTAAGAGATGGATTGAAACTTGGCATCACAGAAGGCTCCCTGCTGGGTGTGAGGCTTGGTAGGCACTGGGCTGAGCACTAAGTGATGGAACCATGCTTGGAAAATTACTGGGTGCCAAGCTAACTGATGGCAATAAACTTGGACTTCTGCTTGGGGATAAGCTGGGTAGGGCAGAAGGCTCCCTACTGGGTGTGAGACTTGGAACTTCACTGGGCTGGACTGATGGCAGAGAGCTTGGCAGGGCAGAAGGTTTTATACTGAGTGAGGGATTGAAACTTGGCATGATGCTGGTACTTGGCTCCAATGATGGCAGTGCACTTGGAACTTCACTGGGTTGCACACTGAGGGAAGGATTCATACTTGGCTGGAAGCTTGGAGTTGTACTGGGTGTTGTGTCTTGATAGACCAGATTGATGTACGCATCATTTTGTCCAAAGCAGCCAGCTAGTGAAGCACTCACATCTGCAGAGGCATCCATTATGAAACTGACAAAGCCAGTTGCTACCCAAGCATTGAACAAGGCCTGTGGCACAACAAAATCAGCCTGTTCATAGGAAGCAGAGCATTGAGCAGGTCCACCATTATTTTGACCCAAGGTGTCCCCATCTTGGTTCAATACATCATAGAACTCAATATTACTGTTCAAATCACCCCGGGCGGAAGTTTGAATCGTCACATCACTGGTGGCAGGCAACAGAGAATCAAAACAAATATCCAATTGTCCCTATGGAAGGATTGATACAGGAAAGTTAATGTTGGAATCAGAGCACCAGCAATACAAGTGTTCACATGTAGCTCACTTACCCCTGATACTGTAAGTGTGCACACATCTGAAGTTGTTGTTGATGAACAAGGCTTGGTAGGAGCCTGGCTGGTCATGGTTGGACTTGTGCTTGGTGTTTGGCTTGGAATTTGGCTTGGAATTTGGCTTGGTGCCAAGCTTAGGCTTGGTGCTGAGCTTGTAGATGGTACAAAGCTGGGTAGTGAACTGACTGAAGGATTGACACTTAAACTTGGTGTTGCACTGGGTGAGTTGTCATTATAGACCAAATTGATGTACACATCCTGCTGGGCACAGAAGGTGCCCACACCCCCAGTGGCATCCATTATGAAACTGACAATGCCAGTTGCTACCCAAGTGTTGAAGGTAGCCTGTGCCACAACAAAGTCAGCCTGACCATAGATTGAAGAGCATCCCCCCCCCCACCACTGTTTTGACCCAAGTTGTTTCCATTTTGGTCAAGTACATCATAGAACTCAAGGCCTGAGCCCAAATCACCCCGGGCGAAAGTTTGAACAGTCACATCACTGGTGGCAGGCAACAGAGAATCAAAACAAAGAAAAAGTTGTTGCTATTCAAGGATACAGAGAAAGTTAGTGTTGGAATCAGACCACCAGCAATGCAGGTGTTCACATGTAGCTCACTTACCCCATCAGTTGTAATTGGGCACACACTTGAAGTTGTAGTTGTTGAACAAGACTTGGTAGGAGCCTGACTGGGAATCACACTTGGAGCCAAGCTTATGCTTGGTGGCAAGCTTGGAATCATACTTGGTATTTGGCTTGGTACCGAGCTCAGGCTTGGTGCCAAGCTTAAGCTGGGTGCGGTACTGGGTGTTGTGTCGTTATAGACCAGATTGATGTATGCATCATTCTAGATGGCGCAAAGTAGGGCGCTCACGTCTGTAGAGGCATCCATTATGAAACTGACAAAGCCAGCGGCTACCCAAGAGTTGAATGTGGCCTGTGCCACAACAAAGTCAGCCTGACCATAGATTGAATCGCAGTCACTCCCACCAGAACCATTGTTTTGTCCCAAGATGTTTCCATTTTGGTCAAATACATCATAGAACTCTGACCCACCACCCAGATCACCCCGGGTGAAAGTTTGAACAGTCACATCACTGGTGGCAGGCAACAGAGAATCAAAACAAACATCCAATTGTCCCTGTTGGAGGAAATATACCTGACACCTCTTTACTATTGACTCGTGTATTAATCATCTAGTCCGGTTCGCATGCAAATTCATCATGCAAGCAACCGAGGGAGTTTTAGGTCTAAAGCGTTACGGGGGTCCTTATATCCAATTCAATCACAAGAATTGCTGAGCACCACCAGAAAATCCTCACTTTTGCTTTTCAGCTTAATCTAAAACCAAATTACTCCCCAATAAGCTGCAGTATTACTAGCAAACATTGCAGTTCCACTTCCAGCACCATCAAGTCGATGGAGTCCCGCCCCTGATGGGCAGAGATGATTCCACCACCGACAGTGAGCCGGAAGCTTCCATCGACTGGGGAGCATTCGCTACCGATTTTCTTGGAGGCATCCCGCTTTATGCAGAGGAGTGGAAGCATGATGAGACATCATCCGAAGAAAGCTATCACTCCGGCTACGGCCATGATCAGCTTGCCGAGGGAGGTCCTGACGGTGTAAGCATCGGATCCGACCTTATCCTTCAGCGGTATAATGAAACCCATAATATCATTGTGAGTCGTTCTGCCTTCCCTGACACCGTCTTCCACACCACTCCATGTGAAGGAGTGATCCCTCGGAATGGCGAAGACGATGATCAGAGCTGATGTTCCGACTACAGCTCAGATACAGAGAATGAATTTCGCTGCTTGTACCGTGGACCCAGTCGGCGTCAGCGGGAAAATCAGCGAGGCAACTGTTATGAAGATTTCCAAGACCACGACTCACTTTCAGTCGAAGAACAGCAACACCAAGTTGCGTTTGAGTTCCCAGGAGTGGCAGATGCCGAACTCACAGGAGTGGCAGAGCCAAATCTTACAGGAGTGTCGGTCAAGAGCCTCATTCCTGATGGACCCAACACAGTTTATCTCGACAGTGGCAGTTCCATCCGAACTGTCATGAATCAGGACATGATTGTCCGCCAGCGGCTCTCTCCAAGAAAGCCCAACTCGAGGAGATCCACTGGTGCCATTGCAGGTGTTGGTAATCTGATACTGAAGAAGGATCGAGTGTCATTCCTCCATGCAATCAAGGCACGGATGCCAAAATGGGGAAGAGTGCCACCAATTGCGGCCGGTCAACAGAGCCTTTGGGACATTGTCATCACACGAGAGAATTCGATAAAGGCAAGGTCGCGCAACAACCGCTAGATCTGTCTGGCTGGTTGCAATTGTGAGTTGTTGTCATTGTGCGAGAGAAAAATAAAAATGAAATGCCTCCGCGTAGCCCGAAGCGGCATCAAACAACAAGGAGCAGCTGTGACAACAGTCGGTAGCGTAGTGGTAGATGGTGATTGTAGACCAATGGCGTCGGTTAGATACTTCACCATAATGCTAGCTGTAGTTGCCAAGAGCCTTGCCCCTACCGAAGTAGGCACTGACTTCAAGGCAAAATTGCGCAGTTGTTTGTTGTTGTTGTGTTGTTGTTGTTGTTGTTGTTGTTGTGTTGTTGTTGTTGTTGTTGTGTTGTGGTTTGTGTGTTGTTGTTGTCAAAAATGGATATGCAAAAAAATGGATATGCTCCAAGATCTGCCTGGGAGGATACACTTTGGAGATTCCATCAAGCGCGGGGAAGAGGTTGAGTTTACATCGTACACCAATTCCAAAATCATAACCTTTGGCATAACCATGAATGGGGTTGAATGCCAGGCTGCGCGGAAGCGCTCCTTCAAGGTTCGGATGTTGGCTCGGCGGGACCACTGTGAGTCTGAGCCGCTCCATGTTGAGCTTGAGCTCCATGTCGTACTTGACATGATCCATCAGGCTCTTGAACTCCAGGTCGCACTGGATTTCTTGAATCTTGAAATCAGTTATTCCCGTACCGATCAAAGATCTTGTCAATGGCGGCATAGAATGATTGGCCTTTCCTGTTGGTAAGGTAGGCAGATTCTCGGTGACGGATTTGGAGTTCAGTAAATGCAAGGAAAGCAATTCACAAACATAGAAGACATCCATACATCCTGTCAAGAACCTGTGTGGGGCCACCAGCTCATCCGGAACAGCATGGATGCTGGCGGTCACTGGTGGTGTGCGTCTGCGTGTAGTAGACCCCTTTGCCTTGCCCATGTCGCTACCAAAAATTAATTGGGCGCGGTCGATGTCTTCCAACTTGACGGGACAATCGCGAATTGACCCATCCTGATCATGTTGCGGTAACCCTCCAAAGATGGGCGCTGGAAGTTGTGGTACAGATTTCTTGCGAGAAATGCACCCGTGGCTTGCTTTTTGGTAACGCCTTCGAGGTTGCACTCCACCGTCTGTACCAAATTCTGGAACTCCGGTGAAAACTGGTTGAGTTTGGCCATGTTGATCCAATAGGGCTTGCTCAATCAGCACGCCATACAGACCTTTGGCGGTCCTGCCATACCTTGTATGAATCCCAGTTGGGCTGTAGTGGTAGATGGCGTCGTCGACTCTTGAGTCCATGAGGACAAGGATCCATCCTGTGCCCTTACACAGTCATCCACACAAGAGACAAAGCGTGGATGTTGGCGATGCCTCCTGTATTTGAATAACCATTGCCATAAGGTGTGTCGCCTTCTTGCGTAAGCTTGGTGCTTCCAACGTTTGTGGCCATCTCGATTGGTCTTGGAGAGAGCTGCTGGCGGACAATCATGTCCCGGTTCATGACAGTTCGGAATGAACTGCCACTGTCGAGAAACACTGTGTTGGCTCCATAAGGAATGAGGTTATTGACCGACACTCCTGTAAGATTTGGCTCTGCCACTCCTGTGAGTTCGGCCACTGCCACTCCTGGAACTCCAAACGAACTTGGTTGTTGCTGTTCTTCGCTGAGTGAGTCGTGGTCTTGGAAATCTTCATACAGTTGCCTCGCTGATTCTTCCGCTGACGCCGACTGGGGCCACGGTACAAGCAGCGAAATTCACTCTCTGTATCCGAGCTGTAGTCGGAACATCAGCTCTGATCATCGTCTTCGCCATCCCGAGGGATCACTCCTTCACATGGGTATAGATGTGGAACCCGCCGGCCGCTGTCCGGGAAGGCAGTGTCTGGCAGCCGACTCACCAATTGATTTATGGGTGTTCTATATACGCTGATAAGGATAAGATCTCCTCTTTTTTTT